TGTTAGTGGAACTTTTACACTTTATATTTTTTCATTCATTTAGTCAATATACAATTCATTTCATTGCATGCTCCTCTGCATGAAAGTACGTCACATCAAGGTTTATTCGTCTTTCCCCTGTGTCTTTATTTCGCCAATCCCAACTCACTGATGAGCTCCGGGGATTGACGAAATAATAAGGTTCGTCTGAGGAAGGAGCGAAACGAACCGTATCTATTATTTTGTTTATAATGGTTTTTCTTTCTTAATTGGAGTCGAGAATATCTCAGCAGATCACGAGAAACGCATCACCTCAACATTACTAACAGAAAGCAACCAAATTTCCCCCATCTGCTACATCTAATCCCATTGTCACTTCGACAATAGCAGTAACCCTTGCACGGATTGGAAGTGCGGGACATACCATCCGAAGACTAGAGACTCAGCTGCGAATCCATGGCCAGGGAGTTCAGGGAATATGAAAAGAAGCTCTCTGTTTTCCAAATAGAGGTGACTGGGAGGCTTAACGAACAAGGCGCAAGACAGCTGGAAATTCTGTCCTTACTGGAGCGAATTAGAAATCAGGGATCGACCCCTCAATGTATCGCTGCTGAGGGTTCCGAATCTGCCGACAAAGGTCGGCACCCGCTTGAGGAACCAACAAGAAGCGATTGATAATGAACGATGTCATACTGCGAGAAGCCACCAACGACAACCACAAGGAGCTCAATCGAGCCAAGCACGAAATATTCTGATTGATTCGTCGCATCGAAGAAGCGCTGGAAATTCGAGATATTTCTCAAAGTAGACAGTCTAGGTGAAATGAAGTAGACAGTAGGTGAAATGAATAGCTAAAAATACGAATTGATGAATGAAGAAATGCGCTTGGAAGAGAAAGAAAGAGAGCTCCAGATGAAACTCGGTTGGACAAAGCACCGCAGAACTGCATCACCACTCGCTCGTAGTCCACTCCGTCAGCAACGTTTTCCGCGCGGAAGTCGTCACACTTCACCGGACCATTCACGCAGGCCGTCGCGTAGTCGAGTGCGCAGATAGCGAGAGAGCGTAGTGTTGAAGAGGGCACAGCGATGAGAGTCGCATCAATGCTCAAATCAACGGGCAAGGAAGGGGTCCCATTTCTCGGGTTCTGGGCCGTTTCTCATGGTTCTTCCTTCTTTCGTGTACCACTCACCATCCCTAGGTTAATTTGAAATGGGTTGCTTTTTCATCGTGAATTCGTCCTTTAAGTGCAATCATTTGTATGAATTCGGCTTTACATAGAAATCTTGATGACTCATTTGTAACATGTAGAAAGCTTATCTAGTGGCTGATCGAGGATTATTGTAATACAACATAAATTCCATTGAGCTTGTTCCGTCCCTTTTCGTTCATATGATCTACCGTAGAAGCTGTTCTTCAATAAAATTTAAAGAAGACGCGCATGGCAAAGTACCATTAGAAGAAGAAAATCTTACAACTATCAGCAACTTTAGCGGATTTGTGCAAGAACCGTTGACGGTTATCTCAGAATACAATACATGATCGGAATTCCTCCTCATACAGTGAGAGTGGGGGGGGGGGCTCAAACCTGGATGCTATCTAGTGATCGTCGCTGGTTACCCTACTATGTGGATATTTAGTCATGCACGAATCTGGATATGCTCATCTGGATCAAGACTATAGACACAGTACATGTCCTGGGAGACAATCTGGGTATACGTAGAAGGGCGCTGACTCAGTTCTCTTCCTGGTCCATCATTACGGTGATGGACCAGGAGGAGAACTGATCGTGCTTATTACCTTTGACGGGAGGTGGTCATGCTTCTCTGGCGAGTCAATGTGATGGAAGTTGAAGGGGTCGCATTCATTGAAAGAACGACCCTTTTGCGAAATGAGGGAATTTTTAAAGAGAAAATCTTATAAAAAAATGACTTGCGATGGGTGGACGTGTGTAGAATCAGCAGTGCCAAATATACAGATATATCTTCTAATCATCTCAACAGAGTGTTTCTTTTGGGAATCTTGGAGAATAGCGGAAGTGCACTTCTTCATGTGGTGGCAGAACTGCTGAATGAAATGCTGCAGAAACAGCAATGCTAGAGGAGAAAAAGGTGAGGTAGGAGGAAGAGGTCGTGGAAGAAGATTTCTTACCGTGTGTTTTCCAATTTCAATGTTAGTCCTCACGTGAGGAACCTTGAGAATATGTAAGGCCTATGGAGAAACATCAAATGAGGAAAAATAGAAAATCAATGGAAATAACAGAAAGTGCGGAAGCAAAAAACTGATACCCAGTCAACCTTAGGCACTTCCGTAACCTGGGATGATACCGAAACTGCAGTGAAAAAAACAGTCGAACCTCCTGCGGTCTCGAGGTCATTTTCTACATTGCCTTGGAGACAATCAAGTATAAAACATGAATCTTAAACCATTTTTGCTTTCCAAGCAGTAATCGAAATGATACATTGTTTTGCATCTTCTCGCCCACATTGAGCGATTCTTCATGAATCAGCAACTATTGAGTTCCAAGCAAACCGTGTTGCTCTCATTCAGTTTTGGAAAGCATATGACATGAAACGATGTGATGAGTGTTTGATCATTCATAAAACTAGTCGATATTGACCAAAACATGTGACAGTGTGGTGATGGCGTTAGTGAAAATGACGTGGTGGACCGAGCCGTGGAGGGACGCACGACAATGTGGCCAATTTTGTGATGCACACACTGACGGAAAATTCGCTTGGAGATTGTATTTCGGAGAATTATTTGCAATCAACGTCATTCTCGGAGCAGTTTCAATGACACTTCTGCGGATAAACATGTTTCCATGGTTCTTTAAATTTGGGTGGAACATGGTGTCAGTGTTTTGGTTCAACGTCAGTGGCATGACACCTAGCATGAGCCGGAACGCTGGCTTTTTCTCAAATCGAAATTATAATCAAATACCCCTGATGTTCAAAACAAAAAATTGCGAGCAACATCCACTTGTTACCGTAACTCGCCCAACCTGCATACATAGCTTGAAGTCACATCAGACAAAGGCACATTATTCCTCGACTTTCAGTTCGGAATTTCTTTTTTTGTTATGCTCATGCTTCTATTGTTTTGAGTCGAAGATTCATCCGTATATTTCAATCTATTCAGGCAGAGAGGTGAGCATTTGAGGGATGGGTCTGGCTCTGTCCCACTGAAGGAGTCCATTTTTTTCGTCGATAAAGATGATTGTTCCACTGCTGCAGTCACTTAACACGTTGACGACAGGCTGACGCGCATGCGCGTCAGAAATTTGGCACCGCATCGGACATTCTGACGCGCATGCGCGTCAGAACTATGTCATTCATTTTTATGTGCTTGCGCTCCTTCTTCTCGAGTTTTTTGTATTCATTCTATAGATAATACATTAGCATAACTATAAACCACATGGCAGCCAGAGTGGTCAAATATCCCTTGATTTAGCAAAGATTTTCTGAACGCACAAAACTTTCATTTCAATTCTTTCCTAGTATTCCTTTCACTGTCGTAAACATTCATATGAAAGATTGTAGAAGCAGTTAATACAAGACTCGAGGGGTTGTGGCTATTAATTTCTGTGATTTGGATTCTGTGATCAGATCTCATATGTTCTTCATATGAGCAGATCGTATGGTATTATGAGTTTTATCGTATGGTATCGTAAGTTCTAGTTCTCAAAGAGAAGGACAACAAAAATCACTCTTAAATTATTCTGAAAGTCACTCTTGGATTATTTTTTATTCATTCTCTTTCCTTTAGACTTTTGGATTATATTCCATCACTTCTGCTGAGAAAGCGTAACAAAGATGATAAGCGCAAACAGATAGACAGATACAATCCGCTGAACACAGCCCTTGCGAACTTTTCAAGTGCTCTAAGCTTCAGAAAGAGTTTTAGAAATCTCAATTTTCTAATCACATGCCCTGATTGTTTTGTTTGACTCAAGATCATGTAGGTGTCCCTAGCCATAAAAGCATTTCTTTGATGAATCGAGCCATAGGAGTCTTTTCTGACAATACACTCCGTCTGAAAAATGTTCACAGCACTAGTGAGGATAGTTGATAAATCCGCTCTCGTAAAAATTCCGAAGGTATTCGGACATTATTACACAGAGATGGCAAAAAAATCACTCCCTACTACAGTAGAAACGGAATTAATTACACGTTGTCAAACTCAAACCAAATGGTCCCAAATATGCATTGAGGATCACATTCCATCCTATCAGAAAGTTTTATGACGGCCTTCTGTCACGGCGGCATCAGAAAACTTTTGCACGGGGAAATGATGTACAGTTTGAGCTCAACGAGCTCCTCGACGGATCGTGAGCCAGCACGACACATGCGCAGCGGTGATTGGAAGGGGTATTGCATGGTCATGGCTGCTGTCTCCGGAAAGCTAACCACTAGTCCTCGGTCAGAGAAATTGTGTAGCTTAAGGTTGGAGCGATTACTGTGGCCTCCTTGAGCTCGACGGTGATGGCAGATGACGTCATATTCTGAAGACGGTGAAGCAGTGAAGGAGGGCCTGCTTCTGCTTATGGGGGACATCTAAGGAATATTTTGCCGTGAAACTCTCATCAATGCGGCATGCTGTGCGACGAAAAGTTGGATGATGTGATGACGCTTTTCCCCTTCCCATCCCTTTATATGACTCACTTCTATTGCTGGAGAGCTCAATAGGATGAGAGCAGTTTTCCAGATGTGGTTCACCTGTAATTGGAAGACGATGCGAAGGGTAGCCTGTAATTGGAAGACGATGCGAAGGGTATCATCTGGGGATTTTTGTTGGGATTCTCTGCTTGTTAAATCAGTTAGTGAAGACTGAAGAGGACCCAGAAATTACGGCCGATAGATGAGGAGGCGAGTTCTTTTTCACTATCAGCCGTAACATTGCGCTTCTTGTGGCAAACTAATGGCAGTAATGTGCTTCATCGTGTAAGCTGCAAAGAATAAACAATCTGTTTATTGAGTACATGCTTTGTTGGGAGAGAATCTCCTCGGCAAATTCCTGAATCACGGCTCTTGCTTGATTGAGTTCGCAGGGACTGAAAAAATGAACATTGGCTGACGATACGCTCCGATATCAAAAGGCCAAAAGACAACCAAATAAAATAATTCTAGGAAGAATTGGCATTGAAGCCACACCTACACTCGTAATTGTCTTTTCCATTTCCATCACAAAGAGGAAAGAAGAAGAAAGCAGGACAAACACAATGGCAAGAAGAATGTTCCCTTTACAATTCATTCTATGTGTGGACTGCTTGAACATTAATCCAGTGCGAGATGGAAATTCCTACGCAGTGGGAGGGAACTCCAAGCGAAGTAGGAGTGGGATGGGAGAAGGTTGCAGGTCCGTCCTTTCTTTAAGGCTTAGTCCTGAGGTAAGCATCAAATTGAGGCGGTTTTAAGGACCGAGTTGAAGTAGTCCGTCACCGTCGGGGACCCCATCCCCTCCCCAACATTCAGCATACGGCCCCAGCAGAAACGCCAAAGGGCTGGTTTGCTTACTATCCAGCTCATCACGTTACACGTGTGAACGCCGATAAGCTGCACCTATGAAATCAGCCGCTAATCGCTCGCTCATTAGGGTGACGAGGGTCGCAGTCTGAAATTACTGTAGAAACACGGAGAATGATGCCCCTTTTTTCATGTTTTCATCAATGCTATGCATTGCGCGCGAGATGTGTATCTCCCTTCACAGGCGAGGCAAATACTGAAGTGATTCGATTCAGAAATATCAACTCAACTGATACGATCTAAAGAAATTTGATGAACAACCAACGCTGTAGAACGCGTGGAATTTTCAAGGATATCGGTTACGTCGATGTCTGAGTCGTCACTTTCTGTGTCTTCGGTGATGTCTCTTTCATTGTGGTAAGGGTCGTCCTGATAGACACTGCTAGACGAAGCCTGAAAATGGAGGCTCAGGTTATCCAGATATCACTGAAAATGCTCAGAATAGGTACCTCGTCCGGATGTTGGTTGTCCTGAGGAATTCCTTTAAGTATCTGTACGCTTCTCAGTACGGGGACAGTATCATTCCTCGCCAAAGGAGGGGGTGCGTGCGATCCTGACGGCATATCGACAGCAGTACTCGGACGAGCTGCAATACTTAACGCGATTACGCACATAGGACCCATGCACATTACCAACAGGATGCGACAAGAACAAGTAGCACACCATGTACTCTTTCACTGTCTATTTCCAATTTTCTTTGAAGTAAAATTTTAATTCTTTCTTTTATCAAACACGTGTTATTAACAAACAAAATCATCCATATTTTGTGAGGAGCTGGGGCGGGGGGGGGGGGGGCGACGTTAAGCTATTATTGTGTCCGGTTGCAATCTTCTCAAAAAAATTACTACTGGACTAATTTTTTTCAACAGATTCTAATGCTAGTAAGCGGTTTCGAATTGCGAATCCAAACATTCCATCTATCAGCGGTAGTGGTCCGTGTCCTACTAATGAACCCATTCGAATTTGACAGAACGGATGTCCGCTTTTAACTTCAAGATACGTAGCGCAATTGAAAGCATGTGGGTCTGCACTCGAAAACTAATATACAGGGGTGGCCAAAAAAAAGAGACACTTCACTCCACATTTCAGACAGCATTAATCACACTTTGCTAAATCAAATCGACTGACCCCAACTCAGTATTGAAGAGCACTTCTAATCTATCTAAATACATGACAGCCTTCTACACCGACGACATCAGAAGATTTTCCCACGGAAACATTGGTTCAGTTTTATAGTTACTTTTTAAAGGCATGCCCCAGGATCGCACTGGTGTGGCTCTTGCACACGAATGTGAATGTATCGGTGCCAAGTGGGCCGGCAGTGAAGAAAAAAGGAAAAGAATCCGTCGAAAACGCTCAGGTTGAGGGCTCACTCACCTTCCTAATTGGCTGTGCTAAAGGAACGAGAGACTAAGCGCGAAGAGGAGAGTATGGGGCGAGAGAGCGCATCAGATGAGAGAGCACCAGACAACGGCCTGATAAGAGAGCTCGTTCGCTGCAGCTCGAGCAGCTTACTTTGCAAGCCCAAAGCGTTCTTGTCGGTCGAATTCCGTGCACGTGAACGCCACATTTGTGATTGTCCCCTAGGGTTCTATACTTCTGACCGAAGAGAAGAGTTACAAACCTCTGCCTGGGTTGTGCCTTTAAACAACAAAATCAATCCATATTTTGTGAGGAGCTGGGGCGGAGGGGGGAGGGGATGGCACGTTAAGCTATTATTGTGTCCGGTTGAAATCTTCTCAAAAAGAATTACTACTGGACTAATTTACAATACCGCTCACAGAATGTGAAAAAATGACGCCGATTGCAAGATTAATCCATCACAAACCGTCGCACTGCCATAACTCCTTTAAAAATGAATGAAACGAAAAAATTCAAACTCCTCTGGATAGGCCTGTCCACGAGGACTTCCATGATGTGTTGTAGGTCGGGACTGATTAAGTAGGTCACCAGCTTTACCTTCTAAGCTGGGCAAAATACAACTGTAACCTCAAGGGAGGACACCATTCTCGTTAGATTTCATGTATATGTGCACAGCAGCTTACCGTTCACCTTTTTTGATGCATTTTTATCTATGTTTCACGGCCACTCTCGATGCAAACGAGCCCTTCAATTTTGAGACATTTTAGAATTTTGCAAGCGAATTTCATCTAGGTATGGAGGTAATTCAACGAAACGGCTGGACCATCTTGAACAATGTTTGCAACTGTGCAAGAATTCTGTCGCTTACTGGATAGTCGGTTGGTGGTCCTTCCATAATTTAGCTCTAAATATCGGTATATGTCCGATTCTGCAAGCAGAAACACTTTTCTTTTCCCTTCGAATTTGCGCTTTACCGAAGTGTGTGATCAACGAATCGAATTGGCGTTTCCAAGAACATGTCATATTGTTCCCTATAGTGGCATAATTGCTCAAGATCAAGGGTCTACTTGAATAAGACAAGGGGCTGTACCCCACCTTTGAGAACAAAATATTTTGACAGAGAGTGCATAAATTGTATTGGAATTCATACAGCTGTACTCAGCGTGATGAACGCTACTTGATAGTATACAAGTTATTTTCCGAAAACTGCTTTGTTTTTTCTCATTTTTTCCTTTCGATGGTCGCTGGCCAATTAGCAATCGCTCGCTGGCCTTGTAATTACGCCGCGCATTGAGGGTCAATGCCTCGCGGTGTTATCACCTCTCTTGGAGGCACACTCTAGCAATTCAATATCGCTAAGCGTTGTTTTTCTGGAGTCCCTTAAGTTTTCTGTATGGAAATCATTCCGGAACGACACGACTGTGAGCTCACACAACAACTCACTTGTTTGCTTTCGTTCCTACTAGGAATGGTGTCGTACCACTTCCTTCAGATTTCCTCTCCCTTCTTGTACCTTGATTTCTTGCGATTCGTGATTGGCCAGTCACTGTATTCAGTTCCCTCTATTTCACTCATTTCAACCTACTTGAAAATATGTATATGATAAAACGCAGAGAGTAAAGTATTCGGGTTTGATCATCCCCTTTTTTATCTATCAATCTTTCCAATTTTTTCTGCTAGCCATTAAAAATGTGACGAGAGGAAACTGTTGCATTGCCTAGGCTATGGAAAGAATTAGTAATAAGTCCAGGTCGTTCAGCAGGTAAACATGCAGAGCTACTCATTAGTTTGCATGGTTATATGTATGTCTTAATTCTGTAAAGTTCTCGAAGATCGCCTGGGAATACCCCATAGGAGAAACAAAATTGTCTCACCTAACGCACAATATCTTCTTGATCGATATTATTGGGTTCCAGCCTATGCGAATCGTTTCGCCTCTGCTAAGCAAATGGCAGAAACATGGCGCATCTCCTTCGCTGATTAATATCTATTCCATCTGAGAGCTCTCATGAACTTTTCGTTCTCACTTTTCCGAAAATTGTCGCCTTTACGATCTGGTTTCGAAACGCGGCAAGGATGACTTAAAAGGTTGAGTCAGGTGGACTGAAGGCCGCTGTGTATAGTGATCTGGTTGGCAATATGTAGTGAATTTCTAAACCATGGTCCACTGTGGCAGAAATAGGCTTAAGAAAGTTGAACTCAATATTGAAACGAGAAAAGAAAGCGGGAAAATAAGAAGATCGGGGATAATTCGCTTGGTGATAATAATCCTTTTGGGAATGCGCTGTGCCTTGTTTGGGAATGCGCCATGTCTTCTCATTTCAGAATTTTAGCAGCTTTTGAAAGTTTCGATCTATGCATTTGATGGGTCAGTGTACGCGAAGAACGTTCAAATTAGCGGGTCCAGCGAAGTTGGCCGGCCGATTTAATTCTGGATTCGACCACCAAATCGTGAGTGTGGTAGGAAGACCCTTTGATTCGGCTCAGATTTGGGGGGGAGAGGGGGGAAGGATCTTCTATACTGACTTTTGCAACTGCTGGCTTCGCAATTTGTTGCATAGGTATAATTTGTTGTGTGAGCTCACAGTCGTGTCGTTCCGGAGTGATTTCCATACAGAAAACTTAAGGGACTCCAGAAAAACAACGCTTAGCGATATTGAATTGCTAGAGTGTGCCTCCAAGAGAGGTGATAACACCGCGAGGCATTGACCCTCAATGCGCGGCGTAATTACAAGGCCAGCGAGCGATTGCTAATTGGCCAGCGACCATCGAAAGGAAAAAATGAGAAAAAACAAAGCAGTCTTCGGAAAATAACTTGTATACTATCAAGTAGCGTTCATCACGCTGAGTACAGCTGTATGAATTTCCAATACAATTTATGCACTCTCTGTCAAAATATTTTGTTCTCAAAGGTGGGGTACAGCCCTTGTCTTATTCAAGTAGACCCTTGATCTTGAGCAATTATGCCACTATAGGGGACAATATGACATGTTCTTGGAAACGCCATCCGATTCGCTGATCACACACTTCGGTAAAGCGCAAATTCGAAGGGAAAAGAAAAGTGTTTCTGCTTGCAGAATCGGACATATACCGATATTTAGAGCTAAATTATGGAAGGACCACCAACCGACTATCCAGTAAGCGACAGAATTCTTGCACAGTTGCAAACATTGTTCAAGATGGTCTAGCCGTTTCGTTGAATTACCTCCATACCTAGACGAAATTCGCTTGCAAAATTCTAAAATGTCTCAAATTGAAGGGCTCGTTTGCATCGAGAGTGGCCGTGAAACATAGATAAAAATGCATCAAAAAAGGTGAACGGTAAGCTGCTGTGCACATATACATGAGAATCTAACGAGAATGGTGTCCTTCCTTGAGGTTACAGTTGTATTTTGCCCAGCTTAGAAGGTAAAGCTGGTGACCTACTTAATCAGTCCCGACCTACAACACATCATGGAAGTCCTCGTGGACAGGCCTATCCAGAGGAGTTTGAATTTTTTCGTTTCATTCATTTTTAAAGGAGTTATGGCAGTGCGACGGTTTGTGATGGATTAATCTTGCAATCGGCGTCATTTTTTCACATTCTGTGAGCGGTATTTGTATGCGATAAGCTTCTAATGCTTGTAAGCACTTTCGAATTGCGGATCAAAACATTAATCTATCAGCGGTAGTGGTCCATTACTATGTAAGAGCCCATTACAATCTCGACACAACGGGAGTCGCTGTTAAAGTTCAAATACTTAGCGCAATTGAAAGAAGCATGTGGAGTTGCACATCCGAAAACTGAAGTACGTTATCATAATAGCTGTAATTGTTGGCGAGTATGAGCATAGGTTAAAGGAATCCTTCACGCGGAAAAATCATGATTCTATTTCAGCCATAAATCACTGGCTTGAGACTCATTATCCACGATAAGAATGAAAAGAACAGAAATATTGCTTTTGTTTTGGTAAAAAATTCGAAAAATCGAAAGGGCTGCTACGCGTTCAAAGTGCCCACGGACGTCTTTCACAAATGCTGGCGACGGGGATGCTTCCACTTGGTTCTTGGAGTGCCTTCACTAGAAACTCTTTCTGGCCTTCTGCTTTATTGCATTCACATCTTACACTTCTACTCCATCCTATTCTATCGATCGATTTGTCTCTACTCTCCGAAATCGCGCGCTTTAACCCGATTCTTTCATTGCGTCGCCTGATACGTAGCCGGCCAAAGGCCAACTTCTTTCCATGCCTCGCCTTTGGCTCCGCCCGAATTACCTTCGATTGTCCATAGAGTGTAGTTTTTGTACGTTTGTTTCTCTTCGGAAACCGAATCTTCATGCGTGAAACTTTGTGTGCTGTTTCCAGTGATCACAACTGACACATTCATGTCAAGAAAGAATGCAAGAATTTTCCGCGAAGGATTCCTTTAAAGGAAGCAGTCACGCTGGCTTCCACGCTGGATTTGCTACCCTCGCGTTATCAATCGATAAGGTGTGAGGCAGTAATTGTTGGACGAGTGTAAGCCCATGGAAGATATGATACGATGAGATAAGAAGGTGCGGCTGCTTGATAAGAGGTGCACTCCAGAATGAAAACGGGACGATAACGATAACGGTATCATATCTAGCACGCTCTTATCGCACCCCTTTCCACATCGATAAGTCTTGTTTTTGCTGAACGGAAGTGGATTTCGGCGCCTTATCACTCCGTTGATAAGGCGCCACTGCCACTGAAACTTCACGTGTTCTAACATTGGGCAGGACCTCTATCCACTCCAATACATAGCTTTCCTTATCGTTGCCATGAAAATTATCGTGACTGCTTCCTTTAAGGCCCATGCAAAATAATGAAAAGCGTAAAAACCCAGAAGTGAAAAAAGGAAGTTCCCAGGAACATCTACGATCACAACTAAGGGCTACAACTGAAATAAAAGAAAAAGAAGAAAAAAGAAAGAACATAACAAATAGTGCTAGTATGTAAGGTACTTTTCTTAAGGCTTTCTTGAATGAACTACAGTTTGTTCGTTGAAATACCTAGTCTAAGCAGCCTAGTAAACTCCGAGCTAGCTCTGTTAACAAAAAAGTGGCGTCTGACGTTGCGTTTAGCCCTGGCAATTGAAAATTTTGTAGGGCATCCCCTAGTTCTCGATTCCCTAACGAATAGCAAATTATGGGGCTTGAACCCAGAATGACCATGAAAAATCTTGAAGAGCGTTATCAAATCAAATTTCCTCCTTCTGAGCGCTAAAGTTTCAAGATTAAGATTAGCATTCCGTGTTACTCCAGAAGGGATCTGATCATACTTGAAACCGATCACTCTCAGGAAAAAGTTTTCGAGTAAAAGTTTTGAACCCTCTCCAATGTGTTGATAACTTTCACTTTGTGCGGATTAAATATGACGGTCCCATATTCCATAGGGGTCTGATATAGGTTGTATAAGCTCTGAGGAGCACAAGAGAAGTCCTTAGTTGTCAAAGCTCTGAACAGATTGAATGTGAGAGCTCGTTGCTTCGGAGGCTATCTTCGAACAGTGTTCAAGCTCCGAGATCTCGGGGGCTTCAAGATCGCTGCGGATGAAGAAACCCAGGTCTCTAATTTCACTCACCATCTCTAACTGAACATCATCGATTGAATATGAGGGATCAACAACAACTTTACCTAAATGTAGAACCTTGGTTTTTTCTTGGGAAATGGGCAGGTTCCATTGCGCTGCCCAGCAGTTGATATCATTGATAGCATTCTGAAGTAATTCTTTGTCAGAACTAGAGGAGACTGGATAGTAGAGCTTGAAATCGTCCGCAAATGCAACGCATTTAACTCCCCGCGAGCCAGCTAACTCCGGCAGTTCGTATGTGAAGGTATTCAAGAGAATTGGGGATAAAACACCACCTGCGGTACACCGCTGAGCACAGGCTTAGATGGGGAAAACACACCACCAAATCGGCAACGTAGGATCGTAATTTGTTCACCAGTGATAAAAGTGAACAACAATTTCAAATGCTTCTAGAAACACGTTGCGCGCTGGTCCTATAGGAGGAGATCGTGCCCCTGCGGTAATCTCATTGGCCAACATTGTTACAGATTTAGTAAACATATTAAAGTACTGTCAAGATAATTGACCAACCTATTGACTCCTGTGGACGCGGAGAGCCAACTACGTCCGTGTGATCAGCGCGCGTGTGGTTTCAAGGCTCCCAGTACCTTTTTTTCAATTTCCTTTCCCGGTGGATGCACCATTCGCCTCGAGTTCCATTTGTTTTTCGTGAACCGTGACTGTGATCCCGGCGCATGCCGCGCTTGCACTCAGCTGCGCTCCGTGACCGCGATCACGCGGCATTCACCGGCTATTAGAGGGGGCCCGCCGAGGCGGCCACCTAACAGGGCCCCAACAGGAGGCCCGTCGGGCGGCGAGAAGGCAGAGCCGCAAATGGGTCAGCGGACGAGCACCAGAGCGTGCTGTGCTTGGGACTTACTGTAGCATTCTATTTAAATTGACGCGAAAACACTACAGCACGCGCTGCGACTGCGTCTCTGCATTTTAGCCGCGCGATGGGTCTCCTGTCGGATACCCCTACTCAAGCGAGCCGCATCTGACACTCGACGCACTTCGCCTCCTGCGGAGCGTTGTGCCGTGCATCCGAGGAAGGGGGACGTTTCGGAGTCGATAGTATGGACATACCGCTCCGTCCGGCGGGAACGCTGGTACGTTAGCGTCCGCTTCACCCGATGAACGCTGTCAGCAGCATGCTACCTTCATGTCAACGACAAAGCGTCTCCTCACCGATAGACGAAACACTGCCCGACGATGACGGTGTTGCACGTCGAAGATATTGCCACCAATAAACGTGAATGAATCGAACGTGTGGTATGTCGTATAGAGGTTTGTTAGGGGAAGAGGGGGCGCAGGCCGAAGGTCGACTATGGCGCAGTTATTGTTGTCCTCAAACCCTTTCCCGGGTTAGGAACCCGTAAGGCCCGGGGGTGGGGCCCATGCTGGGCGAGAAACCAGCGTGTCCCCTAGAAGGACAAGTAAGATGACTTGTGCATGGAAGAGATCGCGAGAGCCCCAAACCGCCAGGATGCTTGATGTCGGAGTGTTAGTAGGAGTACTAATCGCGGCCTATGCCTTTGGTAGTGTACAAACAGTGACAGACGTGGTCAAACACTTCTCTATTATTTTCAATCTCTAAGAAGTCATAGGTAAGGTAGGAATTAGTTCGAGTTTCGCGTGCTAGATTTTGTGTGCGAGCAATATGTCGTTGTACTGCTCAAAGAGTCTATTGTACCTCTCCCGTCAATTCGGCGATTTTTTGACGCTGTGAAAATGTTTCGTAGTGATGGCCGAGGACGAGAAGTCAGCAGGCGGAGGTTGGAGTCCTTTGCAGTTTTTCAGGCTTGACTAGTTCATCTGAGGCGTTGTCATTTGCCGAGATATTCGGTAGAGCATCGTCTTCTAAATTTTCAGAGCAATGATCATGAAATAGTGGCAATGACGAAATCAGGAATTTCAAAGATTTGAAGGACTCTGAGCGTACTTTGGTGTATGATCTAACCAATGTAGAGTACATCGATTTCTCTAGGAATCATTCACACGGGAAACAAAATGCTGAAGATTTTTTTGAACGATTCAAATCAACCAACGCACCATTTCCAGTTTCTTCGACTTCTGTTAACAAATTCTCCGCCGAGGGATGTGAAGGCAGTCGTACACCGCCCATATGATTTCTGCACAGCTCTAGAAATTTGTTCCATAAGTGATGTAATACTAATTACAACGGGCGTGATGCTTTCGGGACACTCTGATACGAGGGTTGAGAAAGTGGTAGTGGTCCCGATGAACTACTAGGTGAGGAAGAGCCTCTCAGGGCAAGCGTAAGATGGCACACGGAACACGATAATTACAGCAACCATGGGTGCAGGTGGGTGGACAAGTTATGCACATCCCTATCTCCATATTGATAGTTAGTTACGTTAAGTTAGAACCACTGCGAAATAAATTTGCGGTGCATTCAGGAAGCAGCGAGAGCATAAGTCGATTCACAGCTGAAGGGAGGTCCCGAACTTACAAAAGCAGGTTGCTCCTTACCTGAAATGTCTAACCGGATGCTACTTCCTAAACAACTAGAAGAATCAAGAACAATCTAGAAGCTGGCAATAACGTGGGCAAGGCAGTGAGGTTTGAATTACCGTGAAGGGATGGAAGGAAGAGTGTCCTGACGTTACCGGAATACATGGAGATGTTTTCTAGGACTACCGTCAAGAGGGGGCAGGAACCTCAATGAAAATGAAATTGCTCGCGCAAAGTGGAATTTCTTGTCCCCTCTTCCTAACCTTAGTCCTCATTTAAAAAAAGAGACGCTTCACGCGGTTTCAAAATGTATTTCCGCTACAATGCCCCTGTACTTTGTGATAGCACCGGGTATCCACAACTACGCTGTGATATGCAACAGTGTTTCTGGCCGCTCGCGGCTAGGTAGCAAAACATTGGTAAGACACAATTCTCTACAGCAAACGCGAGTAGAATTAGGCCGAGCAAGAGCAATGAAGTGGTAATGAAATGGGGATTTTGGGATGGACTTGACTGAACTGAAAGCAAGCTGACAAGATCATTGAAATATAGATTCGAATCTCGCCTATGATGGAGGATCTTTCCCTTAAAGGCAAAAGTCAGGCTCGTGTTTGGGCATTATGGCGCCTGAAATTGAGTGTAGAGATGGGAGGTGGAACGACAGTGAAGAAAAAACGCAAAAAACCGTCGACAAGGCCGAAAACGAAACCCCCTTTCCCACTAGCAGTGAAGGAGGCTTGCTCGGGGGAGAGCCACGTCCAAACGAGTTTTCCGGATATGCCAGCCGTTCCATCGGTTGATACGGCAATCAACCTAGCTGATCTCACACGTTAGGCCAGCCACGCACACATCCCGCGGTGGGCGGGACCAGCTGATGAAACGAACCCATCGCTGTAAGTAGTAGGCCAGAGGCCTTGACGGCGCGCAATCTCGAGTCAGGAGTGTGGCATCACCCCTCTGAGCGCATTCCTGGAAATATTAGTGATGGAAAGGCCTTCTATGGTCCAATCCTGACTCGTGGCTTTAACAAAGCGTTTTGAGCTAACTTGCGCTAACAAAACGTGGCAAAAATAGCAGTAGCGCAACGATCGGCTTTTGCCCAGAGTAAGCGATCACTAGGACTCTCAAAAAAGGGCTAGAAGGGCGCCATCAAACAAGGCTATGGCTGAGGATTTCCTGACCATAAGATAATAGTGACACGTGGAAAGCACATCGAACCGTGCGGTGTTGCGGAACGAAGAGTTGGATGATTAAGGAGGCTCTGTTGTTTTTTTGACGCTGTTTTCTGACTGCGACCTACCCTCCAATCCTTTCACTCTAGTTTTCGAGGCTTCAAGCTCTTTGATGAGTTCCGAGATTCGTATGTCCTTACGCAAAACAACAGACTGCATGCGATCCACTTCCATTCGTAGATGACTCAATTCACCGTTCTGAAATAACACAACAAAGTTCATCGAAGGTTAAGCAATGAGAATACTCTCCTTTCCAGTAAAATTCACCAGAAATTCAAGTAGCTCTTTGAAATATGTCATGGACCTAGTTCAATTGAGCCATTTTTCATAGAACTTCTCAACACTATCTCATGATAGTTACTCGGCTAGATCTGGAAACTATAGCTGAGTCATTGCATTTCCTATCGATTTTTCCTGCGTTTCTTCTTTTTCACTACTTCAAGGAGAAATGATCCTCACTGCCAAGAGGAAAGCCTCCACTTGATGAAATAGGTAATAGATTTTAACTATTTCAGTTCCATTGCTATGTTTGTTGAATAGCGTGAAATCATTAGGAAGGCAGGGTTGGATCTAACGTTGCTATTTTTGCAAAAGTTTTTACGACTCCTCTTTCAAACATCTTTTTACCCCGAAAAATGCCGTCGCACGCCAGCGGGGGAAGTATTTACGCGCGCTGAACAGGCAAAGTTTTTCTTTCGCGTCGCTCCCAGATAAAAGTGCAATTCTTTACAACCGAAGCATTTACACACCCCTTCTGCAATCATCCAAAAATACGACGTTAAGTGACTTGTACAAAATAGGGTGACCCTCTGGAAGGATTGGGTGTGCACCTTTAGTCAGGATTGACCTTTCACACCTCTTCGCTGTCGTTGCCTCACACCACTGCTCTCACTTGCCATTGGATAGACACCGCTTAATTGACTGCGCTGACTGCTGACCTCAACCCTGTAAATTCATCTCATACAGAATATTGTTTCGTCAAGAAGTCATCAACACAAAATTAGTTTAAGTAAAGCAGCTGAATTTTAATTTTAGGAATCTGATTTCTAAATTTCAAAGCTCAATCTAGTAATTCCCAGCAGACAAAAGGCGGGGCGAAAGTAAAATGAAATATTCAAGTTTTAGATAGCGACATCATGAATAGTTTGGATCATAACAAAGCAATACTCTTAGGGTATGCTAACTATTTAGACATGTGTGCAGGGTTAAAGATAGAGAGATGATAGATGTAGATGGACGTAACAGTCATTTTTCGGATTGCTTTGAAATTTTGTTGGTCCATTTTACATCAGAAACGCTTTCGACAATCAAGTAAATTAGCGATTTCAGATTTTAGAAACAGAAAATTTGCAAATTCAAATTTATGCAAAGTTGACCAATTTGTGAAAAGCTAAGGAAGCTAAGCCCGTTCGAAGTGCTAAATGTAAGTTCATGGTTCAACATGTGTGTAGCACGTTGTACCAAGTGTATTTGCAACCACGATCGTTTTTACACCGAAATTGTCTCTCCTTTTGTCCCTTACTTTAGTTAGAATGACGAAGGAGAGGTATACTAATGAAAATCCGCCAGCGTCCCAACAGGGCAACAGTGCAGCTGAAGTAGATCTAAGCCTAGTTCCCATGGGTAAGAATGAAAAAAACTGGGAAATATTCACTGAACGTCGTAGCGCACTCTTTTCGTGAATCACTCGTAGTTCAAGAATACGATGGCAATTTTGGAAAGACAAGTGATAGGGGAAAAAGGTATTTAGGAAGCTATGGGCAACGCTGTGATAATTCCTAAATTATCGCAAGGTTAAAAATGGCGTTATACTGGTACTTTGCTCAAGGAAATTCTCCAGCAGAATGAATCCGAATGAGGAAATTAGCACGTTTCCTGTAGTTGAATTTTCAGAGTTGCATTTTCTTTACTCTCATATCTCTGACTTTCTAAAAAATATAGACTTGATAATCAATACTGCTCATGAGAGCGATTTGTTGGAGCGAGGTCAGCGCTCAGCACAGCTAATTAAGCAAGGTCCAGCCGTAGGCAGGTGAGAGGGTGGTGCGAGGTAACGACAGCGAGTAGGTGTGAAAGGTCAATCCTGACTAAATTCCCTCTGCAATTACCTGCTTGGCCACTGTGTCCTGAAGCACCTTCTTTTCCACTTGACACTGCTCTGAGCAGTTTGGCGGTACAAACGAAGCCATAGAACCACTAGGGACCTGAAAAGTGGAACACAGACACTCGAACAAATTTTTGTAAAGTGTCAAAGGAGAACTCTCGATCACAGTTACTTCTGCCCACTTTGAAAAAGGTTACGTTAGGAAATGTAAAAGGCGGTGTCGTTCGCCAACGGCGGTACACACGAACCGCGGTTGGCGGACCATTAGGTAATCATTAGGTACCGCCACAGAAGCGCTTAACTCCCTTCTTTTTTGGATTGCAGTGCTTTTCCTCTTTGACCATGTTGGTTCACATGTGCAACACCAATAATTTTATAATTCTTACATTGACGACAAATCGTAACAATAACAAAAATTAAGCAACAGTCCCAGCAGGGTTTTTACCTTCGACACTAATGGTGTGGAACGATGCGCTAGCCCTAGTCAAGAACATAAGAAGTGTGACTGAACAAAAAACTCACCTTGGAAAGCCGCTAGAAAGGGAGCTGAACGGCTTCGAAGTGGGCGTGGTTGAATCGGTTGTGCAGTCCCCTCGGCCGATTCAACCACGCCCACTTCGAAGCCGTTCAGCTCCCTTTCTAGCGGCTTTCCAAGGTGAGTTTTTTGTTCAGTCACACTTCTTATGTTCTTGACTAGGGCTAGCGCATCGTTCCACACCATTAGTGTCGAAGGTAAAACCCTGCTGGACTGTTGCTTTGAGGCGATTTACCCGCCCTTTATCGAATTTTTCGTACATCAACGGCTTAACGGTGCGCTAGCAGAACGACTCGTTTTGCTATTCTGCGAACGCACCACAATTGACTGACATACCTGCGAGGAGCGTATCCTGCACTAGTGGTCTTTATACCTGTTACCTCTACATCAAAGAACTTACATCTGGGCAGGCGATTGGTGCACTGCTGACGCAACCAGCACACTTCCGTGGACAAATCGTGGTTGCGAAGCTCGAGTGTACGAATCTGAACTACTGCTTATTAGCGATTAGCACGCCGAATTGGAATTCGTTGTACAATGGCTACGAATTCTTTCCCCAAAATATTATAGGATTAAAGCGCTTTGTCGGAAATACTAATTTTTTAATGTATCCATGTTCAGATTTCATTTTCTCAGGTCTTGTGCTTAATGTTACCAACATATTCTGATTGCTGTCGCTCACCTCTCTTTCCAGCCCCTTCATTTTCCCTTCACACTCCAGGGCCGCGGATTCGGCCTTAATCGCACGATCAACGAGCCGGAGGCGGTCCGTTTTCGTCAAACCACCGTCACATCTTGATGTCTTCTGTAAAAGCCCATTCAGATGATGAAGGAATTAGCGAAATGAGCGGAAAGATACCTGAATTACGGTCAAGGATAGCTCAAGAGGGGCTCGAATTCGTCTTGCATATTAAGGGTTGGTCGTGTTTGGGAATTTTTGGGATTGTAGATGGGATCCGGTGAGCGGCTTTTGAAATGGCTGCGTAATTCGCCAGCGCTGCTGTTCCAGTAGTCTCACCCTCCGCAGAAGCTAATGGTAGGGGTGAGACTTTGGCTTTTTGGCTTAGTTGGAGTGTGTCAAAATGAACAATCATGACACCAGTGACACCATCGACCTGAGGGTAAGGGGGCATATTGTTCAGTAGAGCTGACGGGGTGACACTCCGTCATATCCAAGTTAAAGGCAAAAGTCAGGCTCGTGTTTGGGCATTATGGCGCCTGAAATTGAGTGTAGAGATGGGAGGTGGAACGACAGTGAAGAAAAAACGAAAAAAACCGTCGACAAGACCGAAATCGAAACCCCTTTCCTTCTAGCAGTGAAGGAGGCTTGCTTGGGGGAGAGCACGTCCAAACGAGTTTTCTGGAGATGCCAGTCGTTCTATCGGTTGATACGGCAATCAACCTAGCTGATTTCACACGTTATGCCAGCCACGCACCACATCCCGAGGTGGGCGGTCGGAGCGCCTCCAGGCGGCGCGAGCGCTTAATACATGCCCTGGGGCCTTATTACGGCGCCGTTTGAGATTCTGAGCATGGTAACGTCTCTGTGGGTGCGTAGCCATGCACATAGACGACTAAAGTGATTGGTTTGGTCCACTGAGCCTGACTCGTGGCTTTAAATTGTCTATCTCCACTTTATCGGTGACTACCACAACATTCCGCCTTACATTTACTCCCCGCTCCTTTCGATTATAGCGAAGACACGGCGATAGAAGACTCGAAGAAGTACTGAGAATTGTTAGTAGTAAATGGTTTACACGACTACCTTCACCCTTCCACAGCTGCGCTTTCTGCAACAATAGATCACTGCAACGTAAATGTGAACTCACATTTCCAATCCAATTCGTTAGGATAGGAAGACTTCGACGTGACGCCGCGCTGGAACCTCTTTCACTGGGACAGGACCTTGAAATGAAAAGTGATTGGATAATTTGGATAATGATTTTGCTGTCGAAAAAACTCCTTTTTCCTAGCCTATGAGAATTTTCTTGAGTTTTATCAGCAATTAAAATTTATCAAGCTTCTTAAAATTGCCAGAAACTCATCATATGATGCCCGAAATTTACGGAGTTATAGTCTAACCTATTCCATCCATTTTGGTCGATAGATATATTTTTGACTGCTGTTCGATGAGCGCTTGCCGACGTGCCCATGAGAATTTGAGACACTGAACTGCAAAGTGTAAGTTTATGCAAATCGTGTCTAGAAGACCAGAACTACCCATCAATGCGAACATAGGAGCAGCGAAGAAAGAATGACGGAGCATGTATAAGGACGGAATTAACGCGAATAGGACAGAGAAATCGAGCCCACCCAAG